TATGTATGTGCATAAACTAGTAGTGCTACTTAGTATGCAGCTTAATACGTGCAAAATGTAATAAAAAAAATAAATTTTATAAAATTTTGAAAATTCAACTTTTTCGAAATTTCATGAATTCGAGTTGTATTGTATTTTGGTGAGTTAACGAATTTTTTCGACCAATTAAACTTAAATTAAAATTAAATAGTTTTAATAATTTTGAATATAGAGAATAATTTTTAGCTAGACATTCCCGCAAAATACATAGTCAACTTAAAAAAAAAATACAACAAAGTTTAATAAAATTAAAATTTTAAATAAACTTATTTTAATTTCAAAACTCCTCCTTTCGCGCATTTATCGTATGTAGGTGCCAAAAAGCAAATTATACAAGTGCGCGTATTTTATACCTTTAAAATTTTTCTAATAATTTTAACTTCATTTTGTTTTTACTAGGTGCAAAATACTTTGGCACAAACGATAATTTCGCCCACAAGAAAACACTGCATTGAAATATAAGATAAATTATACAGGAAATTTTCAGCGTAAATATAGGATTTTAGCTCCAATATTTTACTAGGGGATGCGTTGTGGGGTGTAGAACGAATTTGCATTAAAAAGTCAATTTCGAAAAAATTGCACATACGATAATTTATATCTTTGTTTTAAAAGTTTCATTAAAACTACTTCTTATTATACATTTACATATACATAAGTTTTTAAATGAATAGATATTAAATTTAAGTATCTACAGTATACAGTAGTAGGTATACATACATGTTCATATGTAGCACATACATATGTAAACACATCAATTCATACAATTCCCGTTCAACTGGTTTGCCGGCTGGCGAAAGAAGAAGGTCTTAGCGCTGGAAGCGCCGCGATTAATATTTATCAGCTTTTAACTTTTGCTTTTTTTCTTTTTGTAAATAAATATTCTATTTTTGTTGTTGTATCAGCTTCAGTGACTGCTTGCGGGTGTTCTGTCAGAATTCCTAATCAATTATTGTTTTATGCAGTTAAAAATAAATTTCTCGTGGCAAGTTGAATAAAAATTGCATAATTATGAATGCCTGTTGTTTTGTGGGATTGAACTATGGGTGGTGGGGCGATAATCGATGCAATACTTTTTTAATGCATATATATGTATATATATTGCCGATAGCATTGCAGACTAAATTTGTAAATATGTTTGTGTGTTTTTTTCGGCCTAAAGAAATTGCGCAAGTGTAGGATGTTTTTTTTTTTTTTTGGAAATTTTGGAAAATGACCGTTCAAGGCCACCAACCAAATTTCAGCACATTTTTTGAGTGCCATAGGTCGATTTGAAGCTATTAAAACATGCGATTGCATATATTATGGCAGCTGCACGCACCAACTTCTGTCATTGAAGGGAAATGTGTAACCATAGTTTGGTTTCTAGAGGAGCTAAACTAAGTCTCTAAAAGAACCAAAAATGATTTATCAGACCCCTTAAGTGAACCTAGCTTAGTGTTCTGAACTTTTATATATACCCTTTTTAAAGAAAGACTTAGCTGCTAGTAGTATTTTTATTATTCCTCCAGGAAAGAGGAGTGCGGCTAATGGGTGAACAAGGCGTACAAGCCTTATCCAAACTGACACGAGGAGCAAATGATTCACCACCAACTTTTTATTTGATTCAAATAATTAAATTTTCGATTTAAAAATGAATAGAAGTAGTTGAATAATATTTTATTAGAATAATATATGAAGAAGTTTTAAATGAGCAGATCTTTAACGATAAAGGAAATATGTATTCAAATACCAGAAATTGAATAAAGATGAAAAAAGTACTTAAAAGAAATTTAAATCTTATCGTCTTTGAAAATAAATCCATGTCTTATAGTCTTTGCACCATATTTCAAAAAAAAAGAAAAAAAACAAATTTCACAATTTTTCGAAATTCGAATTATTTTGGAAGTTATAGCTATTCGCTTTTTTCGAAATTGTTTAGATTTATTTGTTTTCGCGCGATTGGTATTACCAATTCCGGTCGTTTTATAAATAGTTAATAGTTAGTTTTATATTTTGTCATAAATTTTTTTTTTGGTAAAAGTTATTAAAATTTATAAAATCCGAATCCGTTTTTCACCAACGAATAAAGTGCTTCAATACTGTAATTTAAAATCTTCAATTCTTTGAAACACGTCAATTTTATTTATTTTTTTTTAATTTTTATTATTAATAGGAGTGCAAAACAATGTATGTAATAATTTGCACTACAATGTCGTTGACACATTTATTTAGTTACTCAAAACGTTATGTAAAACTTCATAATTAAATTAACGAATGTGAGTGGTGCATGTGTCATACCATTAAAAATTCAATGGCAAAGTGCTGAAACATGACGTGCCCCACGAAAGAATTTTCTTTTCAATTACAATATTTTGCTGGTTCATAAAGCCACATACATATGTACATATACATACATATATGGACATTTATGAATATACATATCAGTACGAGAACATACAGACATGCATATATGCGAATATGAGTTGTTATATTATAAGTTTGTATGATCATTTTAGTTATTGTTAATTATAAATTTATTTCAATGAGTGCGCTTTGGACATTCGTATATACAAGTATGTATACATTAGGGATGTTAATCCCAGGATTCTTGGCAAATAATACCGGGATTTTCGGTATTTGTAATTTGCACTGATGGCAATAATAGGAACTTATTTCCTTGACCGCTATTGGTTATATTTCTTTTTTTTAATAATTAATATTTTTTTGTATAAATGTTTAGTGATAGTAAATTTTACACACAAATATCAATATATTCGCGAAACCATGGGCCAAAAAATTGCGTTTTTAGTCTTTTACTCTGACGCCAGTAATTCAAAAATGATTTAAAAAATTCAGTGAAAGAGAAGAAGTAAGAATTAAAAAGGGAATTCTGTAGAAATAATCAGATTAAATTTTTTGGTACATAGGGCTGATAAGTATTGAAAATACCCTCTTAAAATTGCATCTTTGTAATTTCGCAACATTTGTTTTTGCAAAAATTATATGTTAGAGACTTATATTAACTCGATAACATCCTCGAATTTCGTAGCTTAAAAAATTACCTATTCGTACTTGTTGTGAATCTAAAAAATTTTAATCTTTTTAAATTCATAAAAATTTCCTTTTTTTTATTTGGTACCATTATTTTTATTCCACATTGCATTGAATTTTGTAAATATTTTTTGGAATTAATCATACCTTTGAAATTATAAAGTCCTTTGAAATAAATCCTGATGACAAAGAGAGAAAAAATAAAAACGCCACTTTAAATAAAATGTAGGTTTCAAACCCATTTATTTATCATTTGTTTTATGGTATATATGAGAAATAGAGCAATTTTTTCGATTTAAGTTGTTGAAAAGTAATGGCTATCTAAATCCCGGGATTAGTCTGGGATAGTGATAACGACATCCCGAAAATACCGGAATCGTAAAAAGCGAAAAAATTAACATCCCTAGTGTACATATATGTACTTATATACATACCTACGTTTGCCAAAAAAAGTCACAGCTAATTTAAATGATGCTGAGTTGCTGCAAAAAAAATCGGACACTAGTATGAGGCGATGTTAATGTATGTATCTACAAACTGTAGTGTAATTATGCTACTTTGCAATACTTAGTTTTTATTTGACTAACCCCAAATTTCGTGGTCTTGTGTTGAAAGAGCCATGAGTCAAATTAATGTTCAAGAACATCTTAATTAATTGAAAAATTAAGCTATATACTGATTAGGTCTAGCTGACTTAGATACAATTATTTGAATTAAGCAACCGATTTCAAATTTTGTAAAAGCGCATGGCAACACATTGCAAATACCTAGCTATTGTAGAAAATGTGATGGTATATGAATCGTATAATTTCACATAGTGTGATTTCCTTTACCGGTATACCAAAATACTAATGAATGCAATCTGCATAATATATACATACATATGTACTTACATTAATGCTATTAGCCAACGTTATTAACACATTTGTGCAAATAAATATTTCGCATGCGCCATGTGGCATCCTTACTAAATAGTTATACATAGTTTTAAAAATGTAATAGGAAGTTTTTTTTTTTTTCAAAAGAAAAGGCTTTGTGATATATTTTGAAACGAATTTCCGCCATCGCTTATCAAATTTGATTCGGAGACAACTTTATGATAAGATTTTTAATTTAATAAAATTAGATTTAAGTACATCAGTGTACATAAAGGTTCTCCAAAATTTTTTCCCCCACGGCTTTGAAATTTTCGGAAATCTTCAAACAATTAAATTTTTAAAATGCACATTAAACTTTAAAATTTTACTAACAAAAATTTTTCATAGCCGATAATCTCATCTCTTATATACAAAAAATGAATTATTTTATGTGCTCGTAGCCACATTACGCATGTTTTTTTGAATCTGAATAGTTAATAGTAAAAAGTGCATCACAATTCTATTTATTGTTGGAAGATTTCTGTAAGGAAAACTTAAAAGCCCGCCGGCTCCGTTAAATATTAACCGATTAGAAAAAATGCAGGTATCCTTATTTTTTTGAAAGTTTGAATAAAATGGCATTTGGGCAGTCGCTAGAGGGTTAAAATATTCTTAAAAATTATTCCTCGTGAAATCCTACTATATGGACCTAAACTACATATTTCGATACGATATGAATTTTGTTACGTAAAAGTAACTACATACATACTTTTATACCCACTGCTGTGAAAATAAGTAAATACATTTAAATACTTTAAGTATTCATACGATCATATTCGGTATTTAGTGACCTAGTAATTCGAATTTAGAAAACACAATTTTGAGCATCGCTATCTTCGAAAAAAATAGTATTAGGTAAGAATCCTACAATTTCCGTTAAAATATACTTAGTACCCACTTCACAAGACATGTCAACAATTTCAGATTATTATTTTTTTCTTATTGAAGTCGAATTTCTTTATGATCACTGTATTTATTTTGTGCAATTTTGTCTTCTTTTCATCTTTTTAGGAAATACTCGCCGAATCTGAAGAACTTAAATCATCACATAAAGAGATTGAGACGCTCTCAAAATCAATCGTCACATTCCTTGGGGAAGTTCACCAACCCACATCGCAGGCCCTACAGGCCAAAGTGGATAACTTAGTACAGCAGCAAACAAAGTGAGTACCCAGAAAGTAAAAAAATTTTGAAATGTAACATGTGATACACGTATGTATATGAAAACAGACGGAAATGCAGTCAGCCCGTGGAAAATTTGCATATTTTGTGATGTACATATGCATAAACATAACTACGTAATAATAATATAATAATATGGATGTTGTTTTGGAAGTAACTAGGAAAACGAATGCGAAAACGATTATGGACCAAAATAGTATTTTATATTTAGTAAATATGAAGCAAGACAAGAAAAAATAGGAGTACGAATTGGAATAAGAACACGAGTATAAATTTATAAATGTTAAGTATGTATGCATATTAGGATGGTCCTTAAAATATCAGCTGCCCAATTTTGTACGAGACACCCCTTTAAAAAATCTTTTGGGCACGCTAAAGGTGTTCAAAATGTTGAAATTTTACCACCTATTACTCAGCAAGTGGTATGTCGTTTGACGCGTATTGATCGAACTTATCAGTTCATATCCCGAAAACCCAAAAAATACCATTACATTACCTGTGCCTTGAAGTCATTGAGATTATTAAAGAAGTAACTGCCAAGAGCTTTTGCTACAGCCGGATAATGACTAGGAAAATTTTTGGAATAGGAAACCCGTCCTCATACATGCAGTCATTTCAAGCTGCGTCCAGTCTGTGTACGTGTAATCCAGTCATACAATGTCCGGTAAGAAATCCATTTACAATGCAGAAGTCTTGCCTCCGTTAGTTGAGTAGAGACTTAGCGTTGAACGTTTATGGCTTGCCAGATCTTTCATTGGCAATTACTGCCAATTTTTCTTTCAGTTGAAGTTTAAATGCTTAAAGATTGATCACAAGAGTATCCCTTATCTTAGTATCTGTATCCGACGATGTCGTACAACGACGCGCCCCTTAATGACGCAAAAGCCAGAAACCCAAGCAATGTGTGGACGGAATGTCTCCTCGTTAAGAGATCAGCGGCATTGAGCAACTAATTTTGAAGACAGCCAGTGATTTAATAGCTGCCTGGCGTTCAGTGAAAATGTAGATATCATGAGTAGGAATCTTAACACAGTGGTACCAGTGATGCGGGCACTGAGATAGCCATCAGCTTCGCCATAAAAAAACGCTGAAAAGTCGGCAAAGGCGGAAGCTGTAAGATATACCTAACTGGTCCGTACAAACCCCACCACCAACTTATCTTTCATCGAATTTTTACAATGTTCATTCCTTCTTTGAGGGAAGACGGGTCATGCACTTAATATTGGTAGTGCGGGATGTATAGAGAAAGCCCAAAGAAAAAATGTGTTCAACTATTTTTTTTTTGGAAAAATATGGCAGAAGTTTGCTTAAAAATTCCAAAAGAGTCTAAAGTTGTATAAACAGCCTTATGCCGGATTTACACTAGACCTTAAGGCTGCGTTTCACATAATCATTTACGTGAAAATTATGTTAATTTTCGTATTTTTGGTTTCACCAATCAATTTTTATTTGTTTTTAATACTAATTTAAGTGACCTATGTTCTTCACTTAAATAAAAATTAAATCAGAATAACCACACTCAGATATGTTACATATTTAATCAACTGATCAATATATACACACCACAATATTATATAAGATCTGCTGTTTACTTGTATACTAACCATGCTTTTACTACCACTTTTAGCACGGTGCTGCCATATTTGTACTCATTTAGATAAAGAGCTTATTGAAACTGAAAGAATTAATCGATAATTGAATAAAACATTAAATTAAAATTAATTTCCACTTAAATGAGTTTGGTGAAACGCAGCTAAATGGGAAAAACTTTATGGACTTAATTTTGAAATTAAAACTAATCGTATTTTTGTTAATAAAAATTGGCATTGAGAGCATTTCTTTACGGCATTTATGTATATATCTATTTATTCATTAAATGACACAAATGTTTATACCTTTCATGGGCATGAAATGGTATTATAACTTTGGTCCGATGTTTGTAAGTACCAGAACAAAAAGAGATAGACCCATTAAAATGTATACTTATATGATCAGAACGTCTAGCCGAGTTGATTTATCCATGTCCGTCTGTCTGTCTGTCCGTCTGTTTGTATGCAATCTAGTATCTCAGTTTTCGAGATATCCGGATCAAATTTGGTAGGTGGGTGTATTTTTATAATGTAGAGTGAAAATTACAAAGATCGGGTCACTATAACATATAGCTCTCATACAACTGATTGTTCAGATATAAGATTTTTCGTTATAACTCCTCCATTTAAGTAGCTAGACACATGAAATTGCCCTGTTGTAACTTATTATCAAAAGAATACTTTCAGTGAAAATGGCGAAGATCGAGTCACTACAACCTATATCCACCATACAACTGATTGTTCAGATATGCGATTTTTTGCCATAACTTCTTCATTTATGCAGCTAGGAACATCAAAATTCGCACCGTTTCCACTCATTATTAACAGAATACTTACAGTGAAAACAACAAAGATCGGGTCACTTTTACATATAGCTCCCATACAACTGATTGTTCAGATATGCGATTTTTTGTTATAACTACTCCATCTATGCATCTAGAAACATGAAATTTCGCATTATTTTCACTCATTATCAACAGAAAGTTTACAGTAAAATTAATAAAGATCGGGTCACTATAACCTGTTTATTGCCCCCATACAACTGATTGTTCAGATATGTTTTTATGGTTTTACTGTAAAACTCCTTTATTTGGACAGCTAAAATCGATAAATTTCGTAAGCTATTTTTTAAATAATAATACAAAGTCTACTGAGAAAATCGTCAAAATCTATGCTGTATAATCTTAATCTCTTGTACCACTGATTGTTCAGATACCAGTTTTTGCGATATATGTATCTCCTTTATGTAGGAAGCTAAACCCATTAAATTGTGTTACCGGTTTACGTACCGATCACACAGCAGTGAAAATCACTTAGATTGGTGCTATATAAGGTATATCTTCCATACCTCTGATTGTTTAGCTAGAATTTTTTATATATGTATCTCCTCTATCTATGTCTGCTGTGAATATATAAATTTTTTCAAATGCAGTAATCTGTTAACGTAAAATTTTCAGATGCTCATGAAAGGCATAGCCGAAGACAGCGCTGCTCTTACTTGTTTTTTTTTATAATTTTATTGCCTAGTGGAAATTCGGCATTAGATTTCGTTTCCACCATTGTATGCGAATACGATCTAAGAATTATTCGACATTGGAAAACTAGTGACTGTAGTCACTGCTTCTCCTTCCAAGAAAATTAATAAGTTTTAGAATTTAAAGCTTTCTTCACTAATTTGTTACTGGAATTGTAGATCTAGAATATTATTTTGATATATTTCTATGCGTTCTAGTAATGGTTTTTGCTGCATTTGCTTTGTTACTGAATTTAAGAAGATATGTGTTACACCAACAAACCCATTTTCGAAATATTGCTTTCTATTAAAAAAAAAATATCTAACAACTTGTGTAAACGCCTCAACCAAACCCCATGGAATTGGCGACTGCACCTCATTTATTATTTTTTTTGACAACAGATGCACCCACTACGCTTCGCTTTTAGGCGAGTCAAAATATATTGAAAAATAGAAAATCATATATCGAACTATAATTAACTATTATTTGCAATCTTATCGCTAACCATTTACCGGAAATTCTAGTAAATAATGTGACGCTTGTAATTTGCGCTGGCGCCTACATCTACTTCATACCTTACACTACGGCATTCTCCTATTTACATACATGCCAACGTATTTCCCTCTCCAAATAATTGCCGCTGCTGATTTATTACAACCTGTTGCATTAATATTATCTATTGTGAACCACATCTTTAGTAACTCAATGCGATCGTTGCGGTTTTTCTACATTTTGTATACATACATAGTTACTTTCAAAGTTTTCACTCATTCAAATTGGTTGGCGCTGCTTTCACAATTGCATAACTTCATTCGCACTTGTAATCGCTATCAGAGTGTCTACAAATCTGTTGAAAAATGTCTTAATTTTACTATCTAGATATGTATAAGTGTGGTGTTCGTGATAATGTGAGATACCCGACACTAAAGGCAGCAAGTGGCCACAAGGCCACAATTGCGGTAAGATCTCCTCTAGCTCACCTAATGGCAATTAGAGTCGTTGCGGTTTTGTTATTGATATGCCAACTGTCTGTGTGCTCTGAAGCGTTTATCCATGGTATCATTGTGCGTATTTATTTATGTATTTTGTTGGTTTGCTGGTTTGTTTCAAGGCAATGCAAATTGATTTAATTACACACAGGGGCCGGGCCGAGGTATGTGAATGTAAAGAACTCGAGCGTTTTATTAAGATTCATACTTATTTCCTAAGTAGCTGCTTCCGCGTAGCAGATTTATTCGAGGAATAGTAAAGAGATTAGTAGGACAGTGAAGAAATAAACAGAATTTCAGTGCAACTTTATTCACATGGATTGGATGGTGCATACTGGGCATTTGGCATTAGAGAGATATCTCTTTGCCACGAAAGTAATTTGTATACATTTTCGCTCACACTTCGGCACAACACCCAATTGAGCCTTACTTCTCTGCACAAGACTTTCTATGGTTCTTAGTAGGGATGGGTAAATACGATATTCGAATGTTAATCGAATTTTAGCTCCAAAATGGCGAATTTTTGAAATCGAACTTTGTGTTGCTAAAATTCGGATAAAATCGAATTTTCCAGTGATATTTTTAGTCTTGGAGCCTAGCTACGAAACCACAGTACAGCAGAATAATATACGACGGTTTTGCAATTGGGCGATGGGCGGCGGTTTTGCAAAAACATCGACGATATTATTCATATGTGTACATTAGACCGTACCACCCTACAAGCAAAAGTATTTTTGCAAAGCAATTTCGAAAAAAAATTTTTTGTTTATTGTCGAACGCAGGGGTTGCCTTTTTACATTATTCGGCCGCATTTATCGGCAATAATTTTATTATTATTATTATTATTTTTTTAAATAGTTCTACTAAAAACTTCCAATCAAAAAACTTC